TTCTTTTCGATATTAGCTAGGTATAGAAGTGTAGGCAGGCTAGCATTTAACTTGTTGTATGCTTTTTGCACCCAAGAGATGTTGTTTCTTTCGCAATGTATATCTATCAATATACTAATAAATAAAGAAATGATGTTTATCTACCGGAAAAAAAAAAAAAAAAAGATTCTAAATATGAAATAATCTGTATAAAGTATTTAGATACTAGTATATATAGATATTGACTTGTATAGATCCTTTAAATATAATTTGAATATTCAATATATATTAATTAATAAAAGACTATATTCTATTATATTGATTATTAAATTTTTAATAACTAATAATAAATAGAATTAATTTAATTTATAAATAATAATCTTAGGCATTTAAAATTGGATAAGGTAATAATCATGTGATAAATATGCACGTGGCCAATGACACAAAGATCTCATATTAACAATATGCAACTCTTTCAACCTTTCTTGCTGAAAATACAAACATATGGCTACAGAAATTGTGGAACGACTTGAAAACAACGCTGAAAGCGTTCCAAGGTAGAACAAACCCCGGAGAATATTCAGGAGTTTTTCTGCATTGAAAAAACTAAAATTCAATGTTCTGTAGTCAAACCGTTGTAACTTCAAGCATTGTGATCCCTTCCACTTCCACTGCGAGATCCGGTCGCCAAGATTCCCTGCCAAAACGACGATCCAGTAATGATCTATCCCGGCAGGGTACAGAGGAGGTAAGCGTCGCTTCCGATCTCTTTACTACAATGCTCTTTCTAATAAATTCTTATTACAGTCTAAAAGGCCACGATTGGACACAAAAGATGCAGAAGTAAAAAAGCGAGGGCAAAGAATCTTCGGCATGCTTATGGGCACTTTAACAAAATTCAAAAATGATAGTCAAAATAAGTCGGAGGCTGTAGGTATAATTCTTTTGGATTATATAGTTGATATAAGTCATTTTTCAACCAGCTCTCTAAATGATAATTAGGAAATCAAACGTGATCAAATCGTTCAAAAAACGCAAGAAAAATTAAAGAAGGAGCATGAAGAATTAGTGAATAAAATGAAAACGGAAGAACAAGAACGGAGGGAAAGAATTGCCCGAGAAAAAAGAGAAGCAGAGGAGAGAAGAATCAAAGAATTGGTTCGTATCCTACGCGCATTAAAAGTACATTCTTCTATTAATGACTAAAACCTGAATTTCGAAAATCAGCGAGAATGTTGGTCGGCTCAAAAAAAGAACCTGGCGAATTTCCTCCGTACTAATGCAGAACCACCGCTTTATTACCTTCCTGCTAAAGTTTCTCAACCAATGGTTGAAACCATAGCAAGACAGAAACGTCAACTAGTATTGGAATCAACCTCCTTTATATCTCACGATATTGTGGTTTCGGGAGAAGCTCACAATGGCGGTGAAGATATTGAAATGGTCGAACACAATAATAGGAAGAACTTAGAAACCAAGAACAATGAGATGGAGGTTGATCAACCTGAGGCAAGAAAAGTAGAAGGCATTCAAAATGATAGCAATGTACAATCGACGTCAGTAAACGAACGCATGGCTGTTGACGAAGAGCGCTCCGTTGGCATTAAAATAGAAGAATCAGTTATAAAAGAAGATGAACCTACTGATAGCAAGGACGATCCCGTGGAATATTAAAATTCATGCTAGGTGTGTATCCTCCAGTTTGTTGTTTCTTTAATCTGCTTTCGTTTTTCTTTCATCTTCAGTTGGTGGAAATTCGTAATAAAGTAATCCTCAAGAAAATTTTTTTGTAGTACATGAGGTTCAATTGAGTTGCCAAGTGTTCAATATTATTTTGATATATACATATGTATTTGTTTTTATCTTTTAAGCGATCCCGTAGAGACTTTGATTGTTTCTTTTTATTTCAATTGTCAAAGAAATGTTTCATGCAATTTTACTTTTAGTATTATATTCTGTAACAAGTTGGTGGACTTTATTAAATGATTTAAATATTCCATTAGATGTGATATTTTATTTTTATTTTAAAATATGCGCATTAAATAAAGTTGATCGGCAAAAATGTTATACAGTTTATCAGCTATTCTATATTTAGACACATTCTTTCGTGTTACATTTAAAATTAATTACTATTTGTAAAAGCAAAAGGTTACCTATTTATACAGGGTCCTTTGCTATTTACCCATCGCTCCTTTGACGACCTCTCTAACTTCAAACCAACTAAGCCCGTGTCCGTTTGAGAGGCTCAGCTATAAACAATTTTTTAGCATCAAATTATAAGATGTCAACTGAGACGGCATCGACAAATTTTATTCAAACCACGGTTGAGACGGCCTCGGGTGGCGCCAAACAAGTCGATGCAAGCGTACAAGAAATTGTCGAGGATTTAGTGAAATCTGATGACTCAGAAAAAGCTTCTACCGATTCACTTTCTCACCAAGCACCCCTTCTTTCGGTATTATCAGATAGAACAACTTTTGTACCGGAAATTTCTCTTGAAGCCGCCGAAGTCTTCTTTTTAAAAACACCAAAAAAAGTCTTTTTCATATTATATATACTTATCTTACTTGTTTGGAATTATTTGTCGATGGTATCTTTATTGTTACTCGGTCTTGGATGCCTAATTGGTTATGCTCTGAGACACGTAGTTGCAAATCAGCCTAAAGAAAAATTTGTGGCGGTGCAAGAGTCATATATACGTCAAAATAGTCAAAATTCACGACAGGTGAAATATTATTATCCGTATATATTAACATCCATAACGCATATAGATATTAAAAGTTGATTATTTTATAAAACAGCAAATCAAATCCACTGAAAAGTTTACTTTATTGGAGCTTAAAATCACTCCACGCATTGACGATTCACTTAACAAAATACATAGCTATATAATTCGTGATATAGTTGATTTTTATTATGACCCGATAAATCCCAATAAAGATCTGGAGTTATCAACACAAGTACGGAATGCTATGAATGCTATAGCAATGAACTTGGCCACATGCCTCCAGAATTCGGATAAAGTTGAATTGGGGCTCATGTCCGGTTTTGCGATAGCGAACACATTTATTGTACACTTGGTAGGTATTTATTTTGAGTGACCTTATAATTGGATCGAGGTAAGGTTGAATACTTACACATAGTTGCCATGTTATTTAATGTAAAATCTAATGATCTTCTTTCACCTAAATTTAAAGCGTGAATATAGAAAATTTAATGCCACCAGTAAACCTCTGGATGTGTATTGCAAAGAAAATAAATCCTCCCTTTTTGCATACACAACGAACAGAGAGTTGCAAGCACAAACTCTCCGTTCTCTGTCACAATTATTGTTCGAGCGTTTCTTGCCACCAACAGAATCACAAAGTCGTATTTTAATGGCATTTCTTTCCGAACTATTGGCAACGCAAATCTTTGAAACCGCACTTGAAACTGTGTGTGACCATGATTGGATAAATTTGACCATCGTCGATTATTTGACTGAAAACGATCCGGGTGAAACTCATGACACCACCTTGTTTCAGCAATTGGCTACCTCTATAGACGAAGAAGTGGCTGGTCTGGCCGAAAAACTACAAAATGTCGACAATCAGGCGGGAATGTCAATCGATGAATTAGAGAATGGTTCTTCATTCAAAGCGAATTTACTTATAGAATCAAATTCCAATTTAAATTATGATGAATCAAACTCGGTCGGAATTTATTCAAATGCAAGACTTCCAAATTTCATCTCATCTCCCTTTCCGCCCAATCATCCTTTCACGAGATCTGCTAATTCAATCAATTTACAAAAAATTCTTGATCGGCAATCGGAAATGTTTGCTGAATTTATGGCTTTTCTTGAAGAACGTAACGCTGCTAACATATTGCGATTTTGGCTTCAGGCGGATTCCTTTAGAAAAATTGCTTCAAATGAATCAGATGTAAATTTGATCCAGGCGGATGCCCTAGGAATTTTCAAGGCTTATTTTGGTGAAGCTGCAACATATCCTGTAAAGGTTGTCGACGAAAGCATAGTTAAACAATGTATCCGAGAGATTCTAAAAGCTCCAACTTGCAATTGCTTTATCATAATGCAGGAATACATATTTGGTGTATTACAAGATTTATATTTCGATGACTTTGTCAAGGCGATGAAAGAACAAGGCGAAGACATGAGTTTCATGGTAAAAGAACAAGAGGCACGACACAAAGAAGTCGAACAATATCCGGAGGCTAATTCAACATCATTGTCAAATATGGAACAACATGAAGAGGTCAAGACGAACTCTTCATTGAATATGCACCAGAACGATGAGTTTCATCGACGCTATTATACGGTGGACAATTCTGTTCTTGAATCAAATCATCATGAAGCAGAAGCCTACGACAATGCGATTAAAGAAGTAACCTCACCAAGACGCTGGTCTGCTGCAATTATGGTGGAATCGATGGAAGAGCCTAACGACAATTCAGCATTAGAAAATTCAGTTGATTTATCTCCGGAGGAAGAAAATATGGATCAAGAGATTGATATTGATCCACAGTTTGAGCGTCAAAAAGAGCCAATGATGAATCTTGACGGAGTACGGATAAAGATGACCGATGTATCTGAAGCTTCGCCTAATAAATATATTTATTCTACGAAGTCTCTTGCCTACATGATTGAGGTTGTACAACCCGGTTCGACTGGATGGATCATGACTCGGAGATTTGCCGATTTTGAGAAAATGCACGCATCTTTAGTAAAAGCCTTTCCAAAGGCTGAGAAAGTGACCATGCCTCGACTTATGCTAAAAAAAAATCAAGAAGCTTGTAAATCATTGGAACGGTATTTGAACATATTGTTAAGCGATGCTTCTCTATGTGAGAGTGAACCACTTCAAAAGTTCATGAAAAGAGACGGACTACCAATTGAGAAACTGGAAAAGACAAAAAGTACAAGGAGAGCTCTTTCTATTTTGTCAGTATCGAAATCTGTATCAATGTCGAATCTTGTGGGTGTCGTCGCAGCTTCAGCTTCAAGTTCCTATAATGAAGCAAAAAACCAACAGGAGTCATTACCAGCAACAAATCATAATTCCGAAGAATCTTCACCTGAAAAATCACTAGAAACTTCTTCTAAAAGATCTTCGAATAGTTCCCTTCAGAAGAATTTGGAAGTGTCCTTATCCCCTACTGAAATTTCCCAATTAGCTTCCGATGAGACATATGTTAAGACTTCAGCACCGACTGATGCTTCAGTTATTACACGACCAAGCATAGAAAGTCCCATTTCTACATCCTGGGAATCAAGTAGAACTATTACACCAACAGTGTCGAATGATTCTGGAACCTCCCCAATAGTCATGACAGATAAATCGACTTTAGAGAAATTGAGAATGCAATTTGAAATCTCGCATGCTACAGAATCACAACCGGAACGACGTCTGCGACAAGATAAACAGTTAACAGTTCAGGACAAGGACCTTTTGATCGACACAATTTTTGCTGTTGTTGAAGAAATATTTGACCTGTCGGAAAAATCTGCATGGCATCTCCGAAAGACAGTTCTTTCAGTTTTACGTGGGGTTGTGCGGAGATCCTATACTGAGGCAATAAAAAATTCATTTCTGATGACCATCAATTCATTTTCAACTGAGAACTATTGGGTGACAATGATTGATAACTTGTCAAATTCATTTTGGCCTAATGGGGAATGGTCTAGTGTCGCACAGCAAAGAACTGAAGAAGAAAAATTGAAGACCAAGGAGGAGGCAAAAAGATTGCTTTTACAAAAGGCCGTACCTGATTCCTTGAAACAAGTTATGGGTTATGAAAATTCTCGCCTGATGGTCGGAAGGTTGGTTGATGGATTTCTGGCCGAGAAAGAAGTTGTAAGGGGAATGGGGATCAACATATTGGAAGGCGTAGTAAAACTTATTGTTGCAGATTGATGCGTTTGGGCGATTACATGAAATAAATTTCCGACTTTGTAGATATACATATACTATTTATATTACGGAAATTTTCAGTCATTTCATATTTATTGGAAGTAATTTTATGCTTAATAGTAATATTTTAAATCAGCTTTTTTATTAGAAAATAGAATATGAAAGCTATTATAGTATGAGTAAATTCTCGTTGACCTAAGATTAATATTCAGATCTTAAATCTCGATTTACTAGGTGTACTATATATAATACTAATTTGTTAATTATACATTTTAATATTACCATTATTAATTTACCATATTAAAAGTGGAAGATTTTTTGCAAGCTTTTTATCAATGTATTTTTTATAGATTCGTCATATCTTGAAATGCTGCTGAAACTAGTCAACATGAGAAATTGGTATTATAATATTTGTAATTGTAATAAAAAGTCCCAAAAATTTTTATATCCAATAACTTGCACTTATTTAAAAAAACTAAGTTCAATTTTTAAAATTTATATTTAAAAAAAATCATAATTAAATATATATAAAAAAGAAAATTATTTTAATTAATAGTTTAATATAAAATATAATATAGAAAACTCTTTTAAATAAGTTTTTTTAAATAGGTTTTTTTAAATAAAATTGTTTTAAAAAAAATTTATTTTTATATACAGTATATTAGTATATTAGAAATTTAAAATTCAAATATAAATTTTTTTAAATATAAATAATATTTTTGTAATTAATAATTATATTTAATAAAATATAATATTAAATAACTCAATATATAAGATTTTATATAATAATATTTTTTTAAAAAAATTAAACAACAACAATAATATAATTTTTAATTTTTTGAAGTTGATTTTACTATTATTTTATTAAAAATTATTTAAATATAAAAATTTGAAATAATATTCTTAAAAATCCATAGTATAAGATTATTTAAAACTGTATTAAACTTTTCTTTTATTTTTATTTTTATTTTTAAATTTTATATTTAATATAAATTAATAAATATTAATAAACAAATTTGTTTTATGATGATCACAAACTAAAAACAGGTCAAAGCAAAGAAGGTTGCACAAGAAAAGGCTTCTGGTCAGACTTTTATAAAAGTTCATATTTCCTCCTGGCATAGCAAACTCTGTGCATCTTTAAATAAAGAAAATAATTCTAAGCTAACCTATCCAATATTAAAGTTTGATGTTCTATTTCAAAGGTAATATTTTCTGAAACTTAAATTGAACTGAAAGAATAAAAATTATCTATCACAAATGGTAACAATCTAGACAAAAATCATTAAAATCAAGTAAGTTTAGTGAAATTGTCAAGATTAAATTAGAATCCAAGCAAGAATATCAGTTTCATAGATAGTAAAAATGGTAGTATGACATTATACCAATAACATATTTTGAAAGTTAGTAATAATAATAACTGAAATACTTAGGTTAGTTTCTATAATAATATTTTATATGATTTTCTTAGTCCTTAAATTGTAATGCAGGCAAATTTGCCTGCTTATTTAAAATTTTAAATATTAATTTTTATAATTTACTTATATTATAAAAATATGGTTTAAGATATTTTTTATTAACTTTATTAAGTGAAAAATTTTAAAATAAATAACTTTAAACTTTGTTTTTTTTTTTTTTTTAAAGTGAAACGTGCGCAAGGCATGTGATCTTTATTGATATAATCTATATCCAGATGGACACACCAAGTGTCTCTACAAATTAACCGGAAGTCGGTTGGTATTGGATACCCTATATGT